ATAGACCTCGATCAGAAAATTTGCTGTGTACAAGCACCCTCCCTCCCCAAAGCTTGGGCATCCAGTTGATTTTTTCTATTTGAGAATATTTTATCCATTTCTCGGGGTCCCCCCCCCCATTACTTTTGAATCAGCCTAACATTCTGCCTCAAAAAACATATCCTACTTCAAAGTGAATAGCCGCTAACACTAAATACACATTGTATGCTGCAAGATCCCACAATGATGAAAGCGATCTGGCTCCATAAAGTAAACCTGAGTTGAAGGCAGCTTTTTAATGAAGAGTTTGAGAAACCGCAAAAGCTTCTCATTCTCCTGTGCGAACCCCATTGACATTCTCGAATACTCTGATGGATAGGTAGACGCGAATATGGTGTGGCTGCGTGTATCACACCTGCGACATTTGATTCGACGTCTATGACGTGGTCCTGTGACGAATTCCAAGCCACTTTTCCAATCAATATGCTCTCATGCATGCACTTGCACAATTTTTTCACATGATCGGAATTTGCCAATAATTCATTTCTTTCCTTGTGCTATTTTGAGCACTTCGTTGTGGTCGTTATAACAGGTGGAATTTTAATGGCACCGTCTCGCGTATTGTATGCGTCGTTCAAAGTCAATCATCCAATTTGTCGTAATTATAAAATGACATTATTACAGGCATTATAGTTTATTTGTAAGCGCTCAATGTGAAAAAAGGGAGTTCCATTTGGATATGACGGCTTCCTCGGAAAACGTCAAATTCCTGCAACTTCGGAGCGGCGAGCGTGTCAATATAAATTCATTCTGTAATGTCGTTCACACTGATGATGGCAAGCTGCCGACAGATCAGAAATCTGGTAGCATGTTCGACTCTTATAGAGAGGTAAGTTAGTCATCACTCTTGCTTCGGTAATAGAGCTTTTTATCAGTATGATTTTCATTTAATGTGAATATCTATTGCAAACTACATTCAATTTTACTTTGAACGTTGAATTTGCAAGGCCAGTTTTTGCTCGTTTTGTTGAAAACATCGGCTTACTATGTAAATTTCAATACCAATACCGCAATGTTTATAGTTAATCAACAAATTCTGCTTCACAGTTAATGTTTCTCACCTGCTTAGATTTTGCAAACCCTCTTATTTCAGCATTTCAAAACTGCCGAGATATCCGTCCCTACCGTTGATTATAAAGTGGTGGACTCTTTGCTAACTACTAATGATGATAAGAAACGTCCCGAGGAGTTTGTCAAGTTTGTCGAGAAAACGAAGTCTGATTATGATCGGATGATAGAGTACGATTGTGACGAAGAGGTGCGTTTGAACCTTTTTTGCCTTACTTTCTGTTTTGCTCTTGCTTATTTTATATGTTTTAAGCCTGAATTTTACTTTGTCTAAGTGATAAGAAGGAATAGTCATGAATACGTCTTTTCTTATTCTTTTCTTTAATCCTAATTGCCTTCTGATTTCTTTTGCTCCCACTGCTGTTTTTATGCAAAGTGTGGCAGCATTTTCATTTGCACGTATTATCCATTTAAGGACTATCTCTGGATAAAAAACGTGAACAAATCACGGAAGAAGAACAAGGAAAAGTTGATAACGCCGGAGCTATTAGAGAAAGTTATGGATAAACTGGAGAAAGAGAGCTGTTTTGAAGTGGTAAGTTTGCAACTTTTGCATCACCATTGCTTGTGAAGCCTTCGATATTTTTGCTCGCCCACTGTTTTCCAAATCTATATAGTCGAGTCGCCGAAACAGAGAGGAGTATATGTGGTTAGTTATGTTTCTTCCGTAAAATGTTGTTATCTCCAGGTGAAAGGGTCTCCTTCAATGGTTCCCGGTTCTTCTATGGATGGTGACGATGTATGTTGTGTCTGTGGTGATGGAGATGTAAATAATGTAAACCAAATAATCTATTGCGACATGTGCAACATAGCAGTTCACCAGGTCAGTGCACCTGAAAGATTTTTTCTAAAATAAGTCTAGCGCGAGTTTGCTTTCTCGTCAGTCGGCTATGTTCTTTCACACTTCAGGATTGTTACGGAGTGCCATATATTCCCGAAGGCCAATGGCTGTGTCGCCGATGTAAGCTGTCACCATCTACGCAAGTGGAATGTTGTTTATGCCCGAACACGAGTGGTGCCTTCAAACAAACAAGCGATGGACGTTGGGCACATGTCATCTGCGCTATTTGGCTTAATGAGGTATTAGCATCTCTTCTGTTTACATTTTGTTTATTGCTTGCTCATTTCTTGTTTTTATGTTCGACAAATGCGAATGACTTGTGTTTTTGTGCATTACACTGTCCACCCAAAGTGAGGGTGGTAAGATATTGTTAGGGTACAATAGCGGGGCGAATATATCAGTGGGGCCGCTAACTTAGAAGTCGCCCAAGATCCGTTGCAAAAGGCGATATCAGCCGTAAGAAACAATCCAGAAGGTAGAAGTGGCGCTGTCGCTGCTACGATCAACGTGGACATTCTGAAAATACAAGTAATGGGGCTCAAATACCAGAGTAGGAAATCCACCTCTCATTATAATCTCACATCTGACAGTTTTGGACAGATTTGCGCCCGATTCTGAGCTGGTCCTCAGCACACACGTTGATGTGAGAAGCGATACCTCCCTTAAAGGCGGCGGACAGGCAGAATGGACCCTTCTCGGATTTTGGAGGAGTTAGGTAGTGCACCCCCAAGTATACCGTAGCCAAACTCCACCTGCCAATTCATACGCTACGGCCTGAAAAATGCGCTTCAAAACTTCACCAGCCCCGCCCAC